CCAAGGGAAGAAGAAGGAGCAAGAAGAAATATCAAAGTTTTCTAAAATCCTGAGTGAAAAACGCAGCAGCAACTTCTTCGTAAATTCTGTAATTCTCTATTCATTTTCTCGAATTCTTTATTATACCAAAATCGTAGCCCCGGATGTTACGAATCCAACCCAACAAACGGTTCGTGATTCCGTTAAGTAACGAAGGAGATATCGCCAAAATACCGGGACTGCGTCGGTGGTGACGAGTTCCACGGGTTGGCTATGTTTTCTTCATCATATCCATATCTTTCATTCAAAGTGCTTACCATAAAACTCATATTTTCTTTTCCAATCATTCTCTCTTGTTGGAAGATTCATTCAAGCAAAGAAAAGAGGAAGAACTTCAACTCCATTGGTGAAACAAGAAGAAGAAATCATCATAAGTTTCTTCAAAATCCTAGCAGCAGCAAACCGTCATCTTGTGAGCGATTTTCATATATATTAACGTCATTATTTCAGTCTGATTTTTGAACAAAAGTTGTAGCCTCGTGTCTCGAGAATCCAACGCATCAAACGGTTTGCGATTTCGTTGAGAAACAAAGGAGATATGGTCAAAATACCGAGACTACGTCGGTGGCGACGGGCCTCTCGGGTCTGACTACTTTCTTTTCAATATTCTTTCCATTCCGTTCAAAACTCTTATCATCGATTCTCTAACGATTATTAGGAACTCCTAGAGAGTATTGTAGAGAAGACCCGACGTTGGAAGCTTGAAGTTGATAGAGGTGTCCGTACGTTGAACGTTCGTTGAGGCGTATACTTTATTCCTATCACTTCCGTATTCAATGTTATCAAGGCGAGTACATTGCACCCTAGTAACGCAATCCTTGGTTGAATAACAATCTAGATATATCGATAGGATTGATTGCCATATTATAAGTCATTTGTGCTGTAAGATCAAACTCATTAGACTCATAAAGTAAAAATATGTTTTTCTTGATACTTCACCTTAAATGAAAATGTAAATGTTAAGAATATTTCAAATACATAGATATGTTAATCATAAGTGTTAGAATAACTCAAAGAAGTATTTTAGATGTCAAAAAAAAATTAAAAAAAATAAAAAAAAAAGATTCGCGCCAAACGGTTGACCGTTCCGAGTCCCGTAGCTTAATTAAATGATATTTTTATCAGATTTCATCCAAATAAAATAAAGTATATTTATCCAATCATGTTGTTTACAAATTGTTCATATCATGTGATTCATTTCATCATCCATATTGAAACATATCACATCATGTGCATGCGCAAGAGAGCAGGCGAAAGTGCGTCTCTTGTAGTTGTGATTGTGCAGGACTTAGCAGTCCGACATCACGGACCGGGCTTAGTGTACGTACATGGTACTTAGGCTTTCGAGTACCACCCCTATTTTTGCGTGAGTTCGTCGTACAAAATGGGCGAATCTCATAGTTCAAGGCTTGTCCTTGTGACCTAGAATCATACAGCATTAATTCATCATCAAGCAAATGCAATCATTATGACTATGTATGACATTTATTACGTATCACAATCATCATTTGAGCATACATGCTATACTATGTCATATCATGATAATTATATGTCTACTTGCTATTCAACTTGGAATTGTTGTATTAGCGTATTCCTCAGCTGACGTTGAGCGTGTAGTTTGTTTTACTTGCTACACGCAGGTAACAATACTGATCATGGAGCCCATCCCGGAGGTCAATGAGAGTGACGAGATGTACGGACTGGTGGACCACATTTATGATGTTTTAATTAAATAAATACCTTTTCGGGCGAGAACCCAGAAAAATGTAAAACAATTTGATTATGTTTTATACTTAAGCTTCCGCATTGTTTCAGCAATACTCTGAATTTAATATTTGAAATTATCATTTATATTAAAGTTTAAATTGGTTTTAAATTATTCCTCAAATTGTTATGCGTATTTACCATCATGGTAACTACTTCGGCTCAAATAATCTATGTAATTGGGTTATTCGAGTTGGGGTGTTACA